AAAAAAAAAATCCAACTGTTGCTCAGAATACAGCCAAGTACCTACAAAATGAAATTACCTGTTTTGCAGCCAAAGTCTCCATTTCTAATCGCTTTTTGTTGACATATATTTCTTGTTCAAGACGCTGTTTTGCCTTTTCTAATTCCTCGATTTTGTCATTAGCCTTTTGGTTATTTATTTCCTGCATTTTCTTCCTTTGAGACTCTTCTTTCTTTAAAGAACAATAATAAAAAATAACTAGGGCAAAAATACACAGCATTTTTCCAAAAATAATATAAAAGTGTACGAGAGTCCATTTCTTTAATCAGTGTGTAAGAAATCCACTCACCAATAGAAAGGTGCCCTGTAGTTCCTCTACCTAATTCAGCCTGACTAATCTAACTTAGAATAAGTATCACAAGTCAAACCTTGTAGAGCATTCTCCTCTAAAATGGGTTGTGGGAATGCAAGATGTCCCTTTTGAAATATTTGTGTGATGATGTGAGAGCAGAGCTGTGAGCATCACCAAGATGCTTTCCCTTCAGGAAAGAAGGGCCTTCTCGTAAAAAAGAACAGAAGCTTTTCGATTTTTCTTCATCTTCCAGCAGCCATTTGTCTACTGCTAACTTGCTTCCTAAAGTAAAATTAAAGAAAGCCAGGACCCACTGTGGTTTTATCTCTAATCTTTGATATCTAGGGATACAATCAATTTTACAGCCAATACGTTACTTGGGGTGCACCCGCAGAGAAAGAGAAAACCAGTTCCGCCTTTTACCAGTTCTGCTTCCAATGCTTTTATTTTGTTTTCATATGCAGCTTTTTGAGAGGAAAGCTCTTGCCGAGCCATTTCTTTTGCAATTTGGATTCCTTGTATCATTTCTTCCTTCGCTCTCAATTGTGCCTCTTTTATTTCTGCTTCAAGTCTACAAAGTAGCAAGATATTCACAGAATATATTAAGAATCCTCTATATACCATAGTTCTTAATCAATTTAAAATGTTTCCACTAAACAAAAATTTTAAACTCAAAATTTTCCAATACTCAACCAACAGTATTCTTAAACTTTTACTGCTCTTAGAATTGTTTACACCACGCAATATAAAAGGATAAAAATTTGCTTATTTCTAATTTGGTTACTAGAGCAGATACCTGATATTTAAGTAAATATATTTTTCTAATCTTAAAGAAAATAAGTCATATAAAAATATGATGTCATAGTGAACACTGCAGTAAATCTTATAGCTAACATTACAATAAACATAAAATTTATGTTTAATAATGGTTACTAGAAAATTTTTATTTCAAATATCAGTAACTTTTAATTCACGTTTAAGTCATAGATTAGGAAAAAATTGAAATAACTAAAAATAATATGAGAGCTGATAAAATAGATAGTATAATGTTTCAACCATCTATAATAATTTGACATTTTGATAAGTCAAAACATTAAATTAGCATTGTCATCTCTCAATATGTAAGGGAAAAAGCATCAAGAAATACAGAAAACTAAAAGCTTCTTTCTTCCCAATAAAATCAATGCTTTAGCAAGTACTGTATAGAAATTTCCATTCCCAATTTTACTGGAAAAAAGAATAGCAAAAGAAAGGAGGCTAGCAGTGACCAGGGCCCAGGGTAGGAGGGGGGCCAGAGGGAGAATGGAGAGTCAGTTTAATGGGTACAGAGTTTCATTTGGGGGTGATGAATAGCTTGATGGCTGTATACATTGCAAACATACTTAATACCATTGAAATGTACATTTTAAAATGGTTAAAGTAGTAAATTTTATGTTACATATATTGTACCATAATGTTTTTTAAAAAGAGCAAAAGCAAGTTGAGACTTTTAAAAGATAAACGAAGTAGGGGGATGCTTGGGTGGCTCAGTTGGTTGGGCGACTGACTTTGGCTCAGGTCATGATCTCACAGTTCATGAGTTTGAGCCCTGCATCGGGCTCTGTGCTGACAGCTCAGAGCCAGGAGCCTACTTCAGATTCTGTGTCTTCCCCTCTCTCTGCCTCTCCTCTGCTCATGCTCTGTGTCTCTCTCTCAATAATAAATAAATGCAAAAAAATAAAAAAAAAAAAAAAAGATAAAGTAGGATTAGCCCAGTCCATAACAGTCATTCTGATTCCTCCTCTTTTCATCTTCTTTGTTCATCAAGCCTGGTTGATTCTTCCTCCTTGATACTCTCTCTCAGATCCCACCACACTGTACTTCTCTGACTTCGACAATCTCTGAACTGCATTTGCAGTCTACACTCACTCTGACTCTAATCCATTCTCCAGACTTGGCTCATGGTGAGCTCTAAAAACGTGATTTCTGATCATGTCTGTCTCTTGTCTGCTTAAAATTCTTTAATGACTCCATATTCTTTAAGATAAAGTCCAAACTCCATAGTATTTTATTTATGTATACTTCACCAATTAGTTTACTAGGATACTGCTTAAATTAGAAATCCTACAATATTGCAGGAACTAAAAATGGGGCAAAGAAAAAAAAGGTTACACTCTCCCTGTTCTGCTGGCTAACTTCTAACAGTCTCTTGGGACTCCATTCCATTGGATGTCTTCTTATCACCTAGAAAACTTTGCTGATTCCTGGTTGGGGCTAGGAGTACCCCTCACTCCATAAACTGCACACAGTGCAGGACTCTGTCATGGAACTCTATCACAACTATCTCTCAGACCATGAGATGATAAATTTCTCCAGAGGAGTAGTTAACTTTCAGCTATGTTTTGTTTTTCCTAGTATGGTGACAGATACATAACATCTGCTCAATAAATGCTGTTAAATGAATGAATGTGCCAAGAGAAAGATCATGTCACCAGAAACTAACACCCAAAGAATTAACTACTGGAGACACACAATAGGATTAACTCTCTCTTGTAAGAATATGCTCTCATATTCTTACTATTTCTTATTAACAATAATACTTACTGTGATCTCTGTGCCATGAGCAACTCATTTTTTGCAAATTCAAAGTCTTTTGGACCCTCACTTATAAGAGTATCTCTACCAGATGGCCTTTTTCCTTTCTGGACTTCTATTGGATGATTAAATCTAAAATAATGATCTCCACCAAGAATCACCCGATCACCCTAAAGCACACAAAAAATTTACTACTTGAGGTGAGTTTGAACCACAAGCTTACATGGGACAAATCATTAATCTCAACAATTCAATATAATCTAATATGGTAATAATAAAAATAAAAATCATAGCAACTAACATTAAATATTTTCTATATGCCAATCACTGTGTTAAACAACTTACATATACATTATCTCATTTATGTCTCACAACAACCCAATGAGACACTACTATTATTTCAACTTTAAGAATAAGGAAGCTAAAGAGCACAGAACTTAATTAACAATAAGCACTCGCTGAGCTTACAATTTGCAAACACTGTGTTAAGAACTATACATTATTTCATTTAAGCCTCCCCTACCCCGAAAAGTAGAATATATATGAAGTGACCAAAGGCCTTGCTTTGTCTGCAACACACTGGTTTATGCCTGTTCTCCCACTGTAATTATTGAAAATGTTCTCGGGGTGGCTCAGTCGGTTGAGGTCAGGTCATAATCTCATGGTCTGTGGGTTCAAGGCTTGCATCGGGATCTGTGCTAACAGCTCAGGGCCTGAAGCCTGCTTCAGATTCTGTGTCTACTTCTCTCTCTGCCCCTCCCCGGCCTATGCTTTCTCTCTCTCAAAAATAAATAAATAAACATTAAAAAAAAAGAAAAGAAAAGAAAATGCTCTCAAAACTGTCCCGCTTTGGATGATATATAATCACCCTAGTTAAATAATTTTTTTCAAAGATCACCTAGCAAATGACCAGGGCTTCAACCTTGTCTGGCCTAATTCCAAAGCCCAGCTCTTTACTGGACATATAATGATATTATCAGTGGTCAGCTCTTCAGGTACTGGTTTACAGTGATACAACCTGTGTCTTTACACAAAGGCAATTAGTAAATTAATAGAAAAGATAATTTTAGAACAAAAAATCCTTAATCTAGTTCACTACCTTATCTTAGGAGAAAACTGGGATTCACATGAATTAAACAACTTGCCCAAAGTGAAACAATTTGTTATATTTTTAGCAACAGCTAACTTACATGATGTAATACTGTGGATTCCAAAATATGTTTTCCATTTATATATGTCTTTGCCTCTCCAACTGGGATGATACTCACTATCCCATCAGAATTGTTTATAATACTGTTAAGATAAGAAGCACATTGTTATAATTACAAGACAGATGAAAAAGTAAGAAACGGGCAATATGAAATCATCCTGCTTGGGCTATTCCTTTGGTGTTAAGGTTCACATCAATTTCTGACCAAAAAAACTTAAAATTCTTTTATTTTCCTCCAACTATATTTTGAACTTTTGGTGAAAAAAAGCCTGGCTTATTTAGCAATTCTGTCCACCAGTGGTAGGAAGGATGTTCACTGTATATATTTTGATAACGACTACTTTAAAAAAATACCAGGGCGCCTGGGTGGCGCAGTCGGTTAAGCGTCCGACTTCAGCCAGGTCACGATCTCGCGGTCCGCGAGTTCGAGCCCCGCGTCAGGCTCTGGGCTGATGGCTCGGAGCCTGGAGCCTGTTTCCGATTCTGTGTCTCCCTCTCTCTCTACCCCTCCCCCGTTCATACTCTGTCTCTGTCTGTCCCATAAATAAATAAAAACGTTGAAAAAAAAATTAAAAAAAAAAAATACCAATCTTCTCCCCAAAAATAAAATGAAATAAATTCAAGGAAAAAACATTAGAAGATTGACAATAGTGACCTATGAATGAAACAGTTTTAAGTGTTTTATTTTTTAATTTCTGGTTTTATGTAGGAGTTTTAAAGATGCATAGGAAAACAAACATTCTCTTCTCATGAAAAGTAGGGTAATACAGAAGGAAAAGCATGGAAGCACTTAGATGCTTAGATTAGACTCCTTAAATCTAATTAACTGGACCCTGACACTATGGAAAATCAGCTATAAATGCTACATGTTCCTTTGAGTCTTTTTATTTAGAGAATAGGAAAGACACTCCAAAGTCATCTTTGGATTAACTTGACAGAGAGGAAAAAACAGCAGCAAAAGCTGAGTCCTAACCCAAAACCTCTAGCTGTTGATTCGGCTCCAAGATCTATAATTAAAGAATAACAGTTCAAATGGAGCATCTAGAGAAAAGAATCTGGAAGGAATAGCTCACCCCTAAGCAATACATCCTTCCTACCAGTCTAGGGTCTTAGGTAAAGATTTAAACAATATCTACTTGTTCTGATTCCTTCTCTCTCCTAGGTCTATCTACTCTAACATCAAAATTCCTTGGCCTGGCATTCTGAACTCTCCACAATCTGGCTTCAACCACCAACATTCTTTATCCATCACTGTTTCCCCATAAGAATCCTATCTTATACTCAACCATCCATATCAGAACCCTGAATTTGCCTTGACATCAGCTTCTCTCTTTTGAGTCATTTCTTCAACATAGGAAGAATGTCATCGCTTCCACCCTTCAAGGACCAACTTAAATGCTAGAAGCTTGGGGTGCCTGGGTGGCTCAGTTGGTTAAGTGTCTGACTTGGTTTTGGCTCAGGTCATGATCTCACAGTTCATGAGTTCAAGCCCCACATCAGGCTCTGTACTGATGGTAAAGAGCCTGCTTGGCATTCTCTCTCTCCGTCTCTCTCTGCCCCTCCCACACTCTCTCTCTCAAAATAAATAAACTTAAAAACAATTTTTTTTTAAATGCTAGAAGCTTGTCTTTAGGATTCAAACTATAAGTGGACTTTACTTCTAAGCACTAAGAATGCAAGACCCGTGTAACATTAATACACATTGATAGCTACTGAAGTTCTTTCATTCATTAAGCCCCCATGTACTAGATATGTCTCAGCAATGAAGACAGACACAAACCCAGCTGTCATAAAGCTCACTGTGTGGTGAGTAAGACAACAGTGATGAGTGTACTAAAAGGGGAAATACAGACTGCCAGGCAAGCAGGGGACTTCCTAGTCCCCTACTGGACTATTAACACTTTGGGATTATGTCATGTATCTTTGCCACTGGTGTAAATAATAGGAGATTTATTTGTTATAGAAAGCAGTGAACTAATAGAAGAACAAAAGGACCTGAAGAAGGGGATTTGCCATACTAGATACACAGACATTATAAAGCTCAAATAATTAAGACTATGGAGAGTATTAGTGAGAAGAAAAAGATTCCCATATTTTTGGAGATTTTTTATATGAACACTACAGATCACAAAAGAAGCAATTATACTATTTAATACATGATACTGGGAGAATTGGTGATTCACATGAGAAATAAATGAATTTAGATCCCTACTTCACACCAAACAAAAAACCCCAGAACTACTTAAGGACTTAAATGTGAAAGCAAAACTTCAAAACATCTAGAAGAAAATTTAGAACATCTCTATGACCTCAGCGTGGAAAGGATTTCTTAAAGAAGACACAACTGTTGTAAAGGGAAAAGATTGATGCTATGTACTACAATAAAATGAAGAACTTTCATCCATCCTAAGGCACAATAAGAGAGTGAAAAGATAAACTACACACTGGAAAAAAAAGATACTTGCAACACACAAAACAAAGGCTTGGCAATGAGAATATATAAAGAACTCTTACAAATTACCAAGTAAAAAAACAATCCAACTAAAACACAGACAAAAGACAGAAATAGGCAAGTCACAGAAAGACAAACTAGTGGCGCCTGGGTGGCACAAGTGGTTGAATGCCCGACTCTTGATTTTGGCCCAGGTCATGATCTCACAGTTCGTGAGATGGAGCCCCATATTGGGCTCTGCGCTGACAGCCCAGAGCCTACTTGGGATTCTCTCTCTCCCCCTCTCTCTGCTCCTCGCCCACTTGCTCTCTCTCTCTCTCAAAATAAATAAACATTTAAAAAATAAAAGAAAACTAAAATGGCCAATACATGAAAGTCCATTAGTCAAAGAAATGCAAAAAGAATCCACAATGAGATACCATATCATGTCTACCATACTGGCATAAATTAAAGTCTGAGCATACCAAGTGTTGACAAGGATATAGAATAATAGGTACTCTCAATGCCAATGGAAGTAAAAACTCATAATCATCTTGGAAAACAAATTTAGAAAACAAATTTTGGAAAACTAATTTGGAAAACACTTTGGAAAACAAATTGAAAATTATTTTGGAAAACAATTTGAAATTACTTTGAAGTAAAGTTGAATAAGAACATATCCTATAATCTCAAGTATTCTTAGCTATAATCTAAGAGTGTTTCCCAAACTTTAAAAATTAATACTATTTTAGCATAATTAGACCATCATAATATTTATACAGCAGATCAGGGTAAACGGAAAGGCTGCTCACAGTTAAACATGACCGGTCTGGTAGGTCAGGCCTCCCAAGTTCCTAACTGGCTACCACTTGAGGGCTCGCATCTCAGTTTATCATCTGAGAAACTTACTCTAGAGAAACTCTCCACATTTGTACCCAGAGGCATGTATAAGAATAGACACAGCAGTAACATGGTAACAAAAAATTAGAAACAATCCAAATGTCTATAGACAAGAGATATACTGTAATAATATAAAAGATAGATAAATACACCTAATAAGATACTTCACAGCAGTAAAAATAAAAGAACATTAACATGAATGAATCTTGAAAACAACATGGAGCCAAAACAGTTTACGTACACTGTCATCCCAACAATGTGTATATAATCATTCAATTCATATGAACAAAATTCACATAGAACAAAAAACTTTTAATTTGTCAATCCAACCAAAAATCTTGCCATGTAAGATGGATAGAAGTTTGGGGTGCCTGGCTTGCTCACTCAGAAGAGCATGTGACTCTTGATCTTGGGGTCGTGAGTTCAAGCCCCACATTGGGTGTAGAGATTACTTAAAATAAACTTAAAAAATAAAAAAAAGATGGATGGAAGTTTAGTTTAATGTCAATGATTATCATTCCAAGAAAAGAAATGATCCCTCAACCAAGAGATCACATACACCAAAACAGAAATAGCATTACACTGTACCTCACACTGAGAGTAATTAACCTATCTTCCTTGCGAAACACTCAGAATGTCAGTTTGCCTTGGCTAAAAGATGCATTCGAAGAATTATACCAAAGAATCAGTATAAATGAACGCCTCGTGTGAAGGAAACCATACACTACCAAGATACAGAAGCCTATTTAAAAATGAACAGGTGCCTTTTTATTTTTAGAAGAATGACATACCAGTGATCATCAGCAATCAGCACCCCAGATAACTGAATATCATGGCTTGAGTTTGGTCCATACTTTCCAACTGTCGTTGTTCCTTCTTTTATCATATATAACAGCATCTCTGATAGCTGAGGATCTTCATTGAGATTGACAAGGTTTGGCAAATGGTTGTCCATTTGAAATGTAATTCCTGCTTTCTAGCAGAGATCAGAGAAAACAAATTAACCTTAATGACAAGCATCAAATTATTAAATCCACCTAAAATAAATGGTCTATGTTAAACATTAAAATCACTGTATGTGAAGTCTCAATAAAGGTTTCTTAGACTCTCTACTTCATGAGTTCTCTATGACTCTTACCATCATACTTCTTAGACTTTTAGAGCTATGCTAACCTTTCTTTGATCTTCACCATCCTCAGCCCTCTCATACAACAATCCATCATCCCCAAAACTGTGCCTATTCTTATTGACTGATTGTCTTTAGAATGGGTCAGTTCCTTTTGCTGTGTCTGCTGCCATCACCTTAGTTCACACCCTTATCACCTCATACTTGAACGACTGCAGCAGCCTCCTGATCGCCCTGTCAACAATTCCTCCTGTCTTCAGTCCATCTTACATCCTATACCAAATTAATGCTCCTGAAAGAGTATTCTCAAAATGTCAACTCCCTGGTCAGTTTCAATCACTTTCCGGTTCACACAGGATAAAACAAATTTCTTAGCTTGAAAATCAATAAACTAACCATAACATATGCTGCCAATTTTATCTCCCTATGACCTTATACAAACTGCCTGCTCCCATAAAACTGATCTACACATCCTCTTCTGAGCACACCTTAAACTTTTATACCTTTACTCTCACATAATTTTCCTTTCCTAGAATGCACTCTTCCTTTTTTCTGCCTATCAAAATCTTGCCCAAGCTTCAAAGCCAAATCTTCAAAACTCAAATCTCACTTCTGTGAAACTGGACTGACCACTATCAAGGAATATTCTACCCTTCCGCTCAATTCTTATGATACTTTGCCTACCAATCATTTGAAATGTTTCCTTCACTGCCAATACCTTTGCCCTTGACCCATGCTCTCCCATCTCCCTTTAGAACCTCATTCCATTAAGGGCTTTTGATTCCTATAAAAAAGTTTAAGTCAGGGTGCATGACTCAGTGGGTTAAGCGTCTGACTCTTGTTTTCAGCTCAGGTCATGATTTCATGGTTTCTGAGATCAAGCTCTGCATCAGGCTCAGAGCCTGACAGCATGGAGCCTGTTTCAGATTCTCTCTCCCTCTCTCTCTCTGCCCCTCCCCTGTTCAGGCTCTCTAGCTCTCTCTCTCTCAAAAATAAGTAAATAAATTAATTAATTAAAAAAAGTTTAAGTCTCTTCCATCCTTTAAAGAAACAAAACCAAAAGGAACAAAATAAAATTTCCCCACAATCTCATAGCCCCTTCCTGATTCCTTCAGTTCCCACTTGAGGTTTTCAGGTTTACATGTATGGCTCTATTTCCTTAGTCATTCTTTAGCCCACTGTCGTCGGACTTCTTTGACCACACTGAGACTTCATAATTTCACAATGCAATGCACACACTTCAGAAACCTGGGCATCATTCTTTACTTTTCCATTTCTCTCAACACACACATCGAAAAACACCCTCTGCGCCTATCAATTTGAACGCCTTTCTATCTCATGAATCCAGCTCCTCCACTAGACATTCCCCCACCACTTCTTTCCTCCAAGCTCTTACCATCTCTTGCCTTAAACATGGTAACAGGCTCCTACATGAATAACCTCCCCACACATCATCAGTCTTTCCTCCGTCAAATCCACCATTACCAGAATCATCTATTAAAACACAAGTCTACTCATGTCACTCCCTTTCCATTTAGAGCCCTTCAGTAGCTCCTAGTCACCTAAATTCAAATTCGTAACTATGTCATGATCTGAATCTTGCATCTCCCTCCAGTCTAATCTCTGTCACCAGCATTAATATACAAGTTAATTCCGTGAATATCCAAGCTGTGTTGTCCCTCCATGATTCTGAATATGGGACTTCCTGCTTAGAAATCTTGACTTTGGTAGCCTAACAAAATCTTGTCTCTTTCTCTTTAAAGTCCTCCTTAATAACCATCCCCATCAAAGTTAATTACTCCCTCCCATCTCCTGCTCTCTACCTTTTATATGCTTTTCATTGCATTAGATTGAACCACATGACCCCATGACCCTCCCAGTGTTCAACCATTTTTTACCTAAAAAATGGCAGTGTCATATGGTTCAACTGAGTCAAGTCAAACTGCATTTCCGTCATCTATTTACATTTTGTAAACCTCCCTTCAGATCACATGCTGAGGGCCAAAACTACATTTTATTCATCTTGGGCCACCCCCATGCCCAGCACAGCACAAATATTTAATATTTGTTGAACCAAAGTAAATAGAATTAGATGGTTTGTTTATATTTTAACTTTCCAACACAGCCATGGGCTCTAATAATCACAATCTTTATCTTGACACTTCTTTACGCTAGTTCTGTTTATGGTATTGCTTTGTACAGAGTCAGTATGCAATGAGCATTTGAGACATTAGATTTGCATATTTACTGTCATCTTTATTTAATTTTCAAATCAGTTTAGAGAGTTGAAATGATACCTGTAACTCCTTTGTTTCTTGAAGTTTTCTTTTTTCGGCTTGTTCAAATTTTTCTTTCCAGGCTCTTTCCAAAGACAAAAATAATAGAGTTAAAAATATCCAGACACGTAATACTGAGACTCAAAAGACCATCAATAAAGATTAGGAAGCCACTTCGGAATATTTAACAAATGACAGTCTGGGATGGACTGCTCTGTTCACACAGAAAGTAGAGAAACAGAGCTGCAGACCCCTCCCAAGGTCCTCCCTCTCCACCAGCCCCAGCCCCACCAGTCCAATGACTCCAGACAACACCCTGACATCTGAAGTACTAACTACATTCCACCTGTGCATCTCCGCCATGTCTCTTTCCTGTTGATGCAGTTTCATTCTTAAGGATGTAATTTCTTGCCGGCACAGCCTATATCGTTCGGGGTCAATATTTCGGCTGTTTCTTTGAGCAGCTTTTAGCTTTTCAATTTCCGCTTTCAATTCTAAATATTTGTAAAAAGATGCATGATTAACAACATCTGATATGTAATAACTACCACAGGAGGCTTAATCCTCCAATCTTACTTGAAATTTTAAATATTATTAAATAAAACAATATTTGCAGAAATCAATTTTACTTTACTTACATTACCTATAAATCCCTACTTAACCTGAAAAAGTGCTCCCATGTTAATGAATCCCCCCCCCCCCCCCCCCGCCTCATAAACACTATGGCCATATAATGTAGTGTCCAAAGTGGGACACTTTTGAGAAGGAAAGGCAGAACTATTCATCACACTGAGACGGCAGATATAAACTAGGACGGCCCTGGCAAACCTTACTCATAAAAACATGTCTGATAAAAATCAAAGATTTTTCAAGCTGGAATTCAGAATACTTATTTTTAATGAAAACAGCCCTATTTGTGAAAGAGAGGGGAATCCAAAAGGGAGAAAATGGACTGTGATACAATAAACTCGTTCTTCTCTGGCCTTCTCCTCTGAAGTAGCTATTCACCCTCTGCTGCTCAAAAGGACCAGAGGACAAAGGACTATGACAAGATGGTAGTTCCACATAAGCCAAGAGAAACTGCACAAATCAAGGGTTCCTAGCAGGTGTTCAAGCCCATCCTCAGCAGGTGATTCCCAAAAGATAAACAGAACGTAGTATTTAGCATAAATGAAGTTAGGCCTTTGCTAGAAACTCAAGCCTTTAGATCACTATCTTTTTTATTTATTTATTTATTTATTTTTAATTTCTTTTTTTAATCTTTATTCATTTTTGAGAGAGAGAGAGACAGAGCATGAGCAGGGGATGGGCAGAGAGAGAGGGAGACATAGAATCTGAAACAGGCTCCAGGCTCTATGCTGTCAACACAGAGCCTGATGTGGGGCTTGAACTCAAAGACTGCAAGATCATGACCTGAGCCAAAGTCGGACGCCCAACTAACTGAGCCACCCAGGCGTCCCTGTATTTTACTTTATACATGGAGAGAGTGCATGAGCAGGGAAGAGGGGCAGAGGGAGGGAGAGAGACAGAGAGAGAATCCCAAGCAGGCTCCACGCTCAGCACAGAACCTGATGCGGGGCTCAATCCCACAACCCTGGGATCATCACTTGAGCTGAAATCAAGAGTCAGACGCTCAACCGACTGAGCCACCCAGGCACCCAGGATCACTATCCTTTAGATCAATGAACTAAGCAAGAGTAGAGCTGATAAACAGAATGACAATGGAGAAAAGGTCATAAGAGAAAAAATAATAAATAATATTATTGTTATTTTGCTGTATGCATCTATGGCTCAGTCTGTAAGATGATTTTGCTATGCTTGCTATTTCCCCTTTACCCACTCTCTATTTTCTACGCAGTTTTCCTGATGGTTTCTTTATTCTCTTTCCCATTGTCCTTCCAGTTCACTTCCACCATCACTGTAGAATGATGACTAAAATCTATTATAAATAAGTATGAAAGAAAAATCTTTAATTTTCTTAAATTGCACATTTTCATGACTAAAATTAATATTTGAGATTTAACTGTTACAAAATAATTTTTAAATTTTTAGAAACATAGTCACCTCTAATTAACTTAGCATTCATATCTTCATTTACTTTGGCGATATTGATTATCATGCGGGCTTGGCTGGCGTATCTAAGCGTGCTTAATGTTTCCTCAATGTTGCTGGCAGCAGGACTGACTGTAGCAATCATTGCAGTTTTTGAGTTTCCACCCAGACTTTCTTTTAACAGCCTTCAAGGGAAGTAAGTTATAATTAGACTTTGCTTCTACAACAACTTAATAGCAGTGATTATCTAGAAACCACAAAACAAGCTAATAGGGTATAAACACAGAATTATACTCTTCACTCAAATACCATTCCGAACTTTTTTTTTTTTTTTTTTTAATAAGCTCTATGGCCAATGTAGGGCTTGAACTCATGACCCTGAGATCAGGAGTCGCATGCTCTGCCGACTGAACCAGCCAGGTACCCCACCATTCAGAGCTTTTTTGATATTTGTAGCTACTTTTAGATCTCATGAACATTTTATTTCCTTTTATACTTTTTATATTGTTTCATGAAACAATAGCCAGTGCAAAGATTTTAAAATATGGCTAACCATCAAGTATTTAGTAAGATAGCTCTTCCCTCTCCCCAGGCTAGACTCTGAGCTACTTCAGGAAACAAACGATGTGTGTTGCTCATCCCTGTATTCCCAGTGCTACCACAAGCTTTCTGAACAGGTGCTCATATTGAATATGATGAATGGACATATAAACAAAAATTTTGTTTTCTACTATACGCAAAAGCCTTATTTTAGAAGAAAAAAGGTAGTATGAGACTAAAATGCCTATCTTTATTAATGCAGAATGAATTTCACTATTCTTTAACTGAAAGGCACACACACAAAAATCAGATTTTCCCTTACATGTTGTGAGGCGACAACTACCTTCTAATAAGCCAATTGTAAAGACATGTTGCTGTCAAGTAGAGATACAGTCCTTACCAGAATTATTATGTATTAATGCTTGTCACAAGTAGATATTAAATCTATACAGATGTAATTTGAATGTAATGTATCTGATTTATGAAAACATATTCATTAATGAAAACACATATTGAATACTTAAAATGCTAGCCAAATAAACAAGATAATTTCACTTTACACACATACCAACATGTTCGGTGATATCATGTATGCTCAAACATTAAACATTAAGCACTAAAAATAGTAAGTATAGTTAACAGGTGCTTACATGGATATAGAACATACTATGTATTAAGAATTTTACATTAATTATTTAATCTTCACTATAACCCTAAAAGGTAGGCATTGTTATTATCCCATTTTACAGAGGAGGAAACAGACTAGAGTATTAAGGATTTGACCAAAGTCACATAGTTTATAGGATGCAGAGCTGAGATTAAAATCCATGTAGGCCGGCTCCAGAATTCACACCACTAAGCACTTCTGCTCTGTCCCAAAGCTACATGAAGTCAGTCAATTGTTCTTTTCCCCACAGTATTCACTATATTTTATACAATTCTTTGTACTTCAAAAGATACTTGCCATGTAAGAACAGATTCACGGTAAGGAACAAAACCTCTCTTCCGGTTTGCTTGTTCAGAAAGCGCAGATATAACCTTTCCCAATGTGAGCAGGGACTTGTTAATACTCACACCTTCCTGCATACAAGATAATAACATCTAATTTAAAATAACTGCTCAGCAATAAATTTATTTCACAAAATATATTCCTTCCCTCATATAATTATTGAGTAAATATTTTCTACCATAAACTACCACCTTTTTACAACTCAAAATTTACTAATTTTCTTTACAAAGTAAACATAAACAAAAAGTAAAGATCTCTTTTTAAACCACAGCAATGCAATCCATAAATTGCACATAAAGTTTTTTGTTTTTGTTTTTTATTGTTGCTGTTGCTCCTGCTAAATATGTTTAATATTAATCTGCTAAAAATAATGCCATGGGGAATAAGTTTTATCAAAATCAGAAAAGCCTCATATTTTTTGGTAAAGATTTTACTTCTTTAATTAATCTCTACACCCAACGTGGGGATCGAACTCACAACCCCGAGATCGAGTCACATGCTCCACTAACTGAGCCAGCCAGGTGCCCTACCAAAGCCTCATATTTACCTTTAGGCGCTCTCCACTAGTCTGAGCTGTGGAGCAGCGTTCACTGCCCGCCAGATCTATCAAGTTTATCCGACTTGTTATTCTGTGATCATGTTCTTCACCTTCCACAGATTCTATCTGTAGCAAAATGATAGTAAAATAATGTCATAAATTCTTCTATGACTTGCTATCAATGTAAGTCTTGAAATGGAAAGTTATACAAGATTACAAACGACTCATTTATTTTTGAAACTATCCCTTCATGAATCTGTGACAACTTACAATGCATACATATCCAAGAATATATGGAGCAATGCTTGCATTATGCCACAAAGAAGTGACTTTAAAGAGAGAAAAACTCACAACTTCTCTATTAAGAAAACAGCCATAAATAGAGCAAAAGCTTAACGAACACAAAGGTGTCGTTTATCCCAGCATTAAAGGAGCAAGGTATTTAAAAGCAACATAAATGTTCAACAGTAGAGAAAAACTTGAGGAACTGGAATAGTCAATGGAATATTTCAGCTATGAAAAATTATATTTGGCAAAGAATTTTAATAGCATAAAATTGTTGCAGATCTTGTAAATGTGTTTAAGTGTGACTGTAAAATAACTAAAATATGCCAAAATATTTAGAGATGTTTTATTTGAGTAGCAGAACCTATGGCTGAATTTTTTAAAATCTCTGACTTTCTGATAGGTTTTTCCAAATACTATACAATTACCATATATTGATAACCTATTATCATATATTGATATAACACCAATAATATAAATTAATAATCATGTTATTGACTTTTTAAACAGCAAAAAAAAAACTCTGCCATATATACTAAAAGTCATTCAGTTATTGTGTATACTCAATTCCAATTATGTTGTATACATAGATTACTATACTCTTACCTTTGACTTAAAGAATAAAATAAGAAAAACATAAAACCTGAATACAGTCGTTATCTTACCTAAGAAAATAATCAACAGAAAGAATACCTTGGTCTGGGTCATCACCAGGGTAAAAACTGAATGCGATCGGGAGCTTTTATCATTCATACCAGTAGCAGCCGTCGCTCTTTGTTTATTTCCCAATTCTAGCCAACTCTTAGAGGAAAGAAGAGAGGGAGGTCAGAACTGTAAACTAGAATTTATCGGAACAAATTAAGGAACAAAAAAGTTACGTAAGCATGTTTGGCAACATATATGCTTTATAATCTGTTTATAAAATGAAATAAATACATGTTTATCATTTAATAATTTGTATTCCCATTGTCAATTTTGTTTCCATCACAGATATCTGAAACCGGAAATCACACCTTTATTTTTTTTTTTTAAGATTTTATTACGTTTGAGTAATCTCTATGCCCAACTTGGGGCTCAAATTCATAACCCCAAGATCAAGAGTCACATGCTCTACCAAATGAGCCAGCCAGGCAAATCATATTTTTAAAATGCTATTTCAATAACTCTCAGCTACTATGATGGTCAATTTTTATTTTTAGTTAAGAAGAGTAATTCTTTTGATTAAAGTTTAACAAACAAAATCAGCTCATAATGAATTAACAAGATTAACTTTTTACTTATGTAAGTAGTAATTAAGGAGAAATATTCTTATGAATACTTAAGATTATGATCTGTATCTAGTGGAAAGAAAATAAAACACAATCAGTCTTACCTGGATATCAGAGTAAGAACTGACAACATTCCTATTTTTAAAAAGTAAGAAGACAAAATCAATTTAACTGATTATTACACTCTTATTCTCATAATATAATAACCTCTCAATTATATAATTACTCTCTAATGACCACAATTGAATAATTCATAGGTATTATTATACTGATTCTCACAGAATCTTTCACTATCTCCATTCTTGAAGGGTAGAAAATAAAATGCTTTAATTTTACCAAAAAGCATGATTTTAATTAATGAAGCAGCTTAGCTCTTAACATTATAATTTTCAAGTCTAATTCATGAGACCAAAACATACACTTGATGTATACATGGGGGTGGATATGCTGGTATGTATGGATCTTAACATAATCCCAGTTTTATTAAATGGAGCTGAATCCATTCCTAATCACTTTCTCTTTCCCTTAAGAAAGCATTTAGTGGGAATGCAAACTGGTGCAGCTACTCTGGAAAACAGTACAGAGGTTCCTCAAAAAGCTAAAAATAGAACCACCCTACAACCCAGCAATTGCACTACTAGGCATTTATCCAAGGGATACAGGTGTGCTGTTTCGAAGGGGCACATGCACCCCAATGTTTATAGCAGCGCTATCGACAATAGCCAAAGTATGGAAAGAGCCCAAATGTCCATCGACGGATGAATGGATAAAGAAGATGTGGTATATATATACAATGGAGTATTCCTCGGCAATCAAAAAGAATGAAATCTTGCCATTTGCAACTACGTGGATAGAACTGGAGGTATTATGCTAAGCGAAATTAGTCAGAGAAAGACAAGTATCATACAACTTCACTCATGAGGAATTTAAGATACAAAACAGATGAACATAAGGGAAGGGAAGCAAAAATCATACAAAAACAGGGAGGGAGACAAAACATAAGAGACTCTTAAATATAGAGAATAAACAGAGGGTTGCTAGAGGGGTTGTGGGAGGATGGGCTAAATGGGTAAGGGGCATTAAGGAATCTACTCCTGAAATCATTGTTGCACTATATGCTAAACTAACTTGGATGTAAATTAAAAAATAAATAAATAATAAAAATAATAAAAATAAAAAATAAGAAAGCATCTGGAGTGTTGAAAGATGAAGTAAATGACTCAGTATGTTTCACACTCTCAACACTGACCTTATCTTATTACCTTCTCCCCTCTTCAGCTTCAAGTAATAGATATATAAAGCAGCTCAAGAGGGAAGGCTTAACTTAATAGGGAAAAGGCAGGGGGTAGGGAGAAAAATCAAGTATTTCACACACAGCATAACACTCTATGCTTGGCACTTTACACATGTTGTGAAATACATAAACAAATACAAAAACACGCAGCCCACACTCTAGTTGGAAAGAGAAGGAATGGTTATTTGAATAATATTAAGAGTAGAAGGCTAAATAGTTTTCCAGGGTTTCAAAGCTGGGGAGGCAAATGAGAACAATATTCACTCTACTCATTTCTTTTCTCCTTGCTCTTGCTGAGCCAAACACTTACATTGACAGAGCTTCAACATATGGTCCAGAAACAGGATGCTCCCTTACTCTCAGCTAGTGGAAGCAAACATTAGCACTATTAAGGGCATGACAAATTATTTCATATAAAATATAATTTTAAATGATTTTTTTTGTCTATATTTTGAGTTTAAGGCAAAGAGATTTGCCTTAACTTGACCCAGGGGTAAATATAAAGGTTCTCACAAACACAAATCTGTAAGGCATTAAGACAATTTCAATATCCAAACTGTTTTCTAATCGCACAATATGCTACAGTTGACTGTAGCATCAAATATCTTACTAGTTCTATATTCTTAAGACCTGCACTAACTAGTATCTCTATGCTTCTAAATATGTCTCTAAAATATGTTCGATAAATTTCAGACAGTTAAAATTGTTTTCAGTTTTACATTATACATTTTAAACTTTGTAACCAGAAATGTTATCAATTTGCTAAATAATCTGGTAAGATACATATTCTATAATAACAACACAGTTTTTAAACTTCTGGTTTTTGGCTTTATAGACTTTTAGGGATTTGGCATTTGACTTAAGTGGTCCAACTCAACTCTGGAACAAATATTTTATCTTTAATTTGTATACAATATTTGCTTTACAAGAGGCTAAATTTGATACCTAAGTTAATTTCCACTAACAATAACATTCAGCTTATTTACTATTGATTTACTTATTTAGACTGTAGATTCCAAGCATTTGCTATCATTTAACAGCAATTTTAGTCAAAATGTAAGCTCTCTAGATCATCTTGAGAACCAATATAACTACATGCATTTACAAAAATAAATTAAAAGCAAATTATAAATTGTTTCAATCTTACTGGTTGCTTTCTCTGCCCATTTTCACCTTTACAAACCAGAAGGTCATGAATTTTTTCATTATATACTTCAAAAAAGCTCATTTCAAGGTGGTAGCTGACCTAGTAGGAAGAATAGAGACACAGCATGCAACTTATTTTAAAAACCCTTGTATTTTTTTTGCAAATCATATATCTGATAAGGTTCTAGTATCCAGAATATATAAAGATCTCTTACAGCTCAACAACAAAAAGACAAACAACCCAGTTAAAAAATAGGCAAACAACTTGAATAGACATTTCTTCAAAGAAGGTAAGTTCTACTTACTAAGATCTCTCAAATGTTTAACCCTACAGTCACTGACTTAATCTAGCTCCTTGTCATGCCTTCCTTACACAGTTTACAAGTCCCACAGCTGATCTCTTTGCATCCAGTTAGTTCTACTTCCTTTCAATCCATTCGCCACACTGCAGCCAGAGCTATCTTTTTTTTTTTTTTTTTTTTTTTTTTTAGAACAAAGATGATCCTTTGACTTCCCTGTTGACCTTCTATAGCCTTTTAGATTCCTGGAATCTGGCTCTAAAATTCTCATCATAAACTACTTTACTTCTAGCACCAGTTTCATCTCTTGTCACCCCCCACCCTCAGATTCCATGCTTAAAGTAAACAATTTATAGATTCCCAAAGTCTCTCTACTTTTTTTTTTTTTAATGCTTATTTGTTTTTTGAAAGAGCACAAGTGGGGGTTGGGGCAGAGAGAGAGGGGGAGAGAGGATCTGAAGCAGGCTCTGAGCTGACAGCTTCTGTGCTGACAGCAGCTAGGCCGATGTGGGGCTCAAACTTACCAACCGCGAGATTATGACCAGAGCCAAAACTGGACACTCAACTGACTGAGACACCCAGGCGCCCCTCTACCTTCTCGTTTTCAAATCTTTGCACACACCGCTCCCACTGCCTAGAATGTCCTTCCCCCTCTTCACCAAGCTAATAACTGCTGTTTCCTTCCAAAATAAGCTCAGTTGTTCCCTCATCTAAGAAAACCTATCTCCCTCCTATCTTGTATATTCTCTCACAGCACATCTTCCATTATTTCCTTAGTGGCGAGGACTCTGATTTTAATTTGATTTGATTGTTTTCTAGTCTGATACGAAGGTTTACAGATGAGAACATACCTCTTGGGTTTGTTTTTTGGCTACTTGAGCAAAAAGATCTTCACAAAACCTTGGAATTATTCCTGGTTCCTCACTAAGTCCCATCATCCTGAAAAATACATAATAAATGGGGAGTGGGGTGCGGTGGAGAAGTTACATAAAATTAGCATTTTTAAAATTCTTTTTGGGGAAAAGGGTTTGGGAGTGAATGGGAAGCAAGCTAATTAAACCTCATTAAAATCTAATAATGTAGGCTCTGAAGCCAAATCTTCCGGAGTTCAAATCTTGATCTCACCACTTATTAGGCCTGTGACCTTGGACAAGATACTTGACCCCAATAAACCTCAATTTCCTCTTCTGTAAAATGGGAATAAATAGGAGCTACCTAATTCAGAGGGTTGTTGTGAGACAGTATAAACAGAGTCTTTAATACAGTTCCTGGAAGAAACTCAGTAAACATTAGCTACTGTTAAAATTCTGAGTATCTCCTTCTAGGACAGGTATACCATTACCATTTATCAGATGACTTACTTTTAATTCTCACAAGAATACTTACAAAATAACCTCTCAGGACTTTGGTTTATACAAGAAATATAATGTACAGTCAAATGGGCCATTGACACTTACAAGCTAAACAGTATCTTCTGCATAAGCTGAAGCCCAGAGGTTAAGTAACTTGCCCAAGTTTGCAGAACCGGTATATAAAATGGATGAGATCTGAGCCCAGATCTGTATGGTTTCAAAACCACATTCTTTCTATCAAACCATGCTGCTTCTCACCAAAGACTTAAAGGTTTCTCAATAATTGTACTTGGAATAAAACTTACGTATATGATTTTCCAGAGCCGGTCTGACCATAAGCAAAGAGACAGGCATTGTAGCCTTCAAAGGCTCGTTCCAGGAGCGGAATAGCTAGGGTCTCATAAACAGTTGTCTGGCTGGCATAGTTTGGATGGGATTCATCAAAAGACCAGAATGCAACATCATAAATAAAATTATAAACTTGTTTCATGTCGGGATGTTCCACAGCTATTTCCTCTCCATTCATGAAGACCACCTGGGATGCTCTTTCAACCTTCTCTCTTTAAAAGAAGCACAAAAAAAAGAAAGAAAGAAAGAAAGAAAGAAAGAAAGAAAGAAAGAAAGAAGAAAACGAAGCACAAAGAAAACTATTATTTTAATTATTTTGAGTATTTTTCCCATGAAATATAATAAGAACCTCAAAACCAGTTAAATATAAAATTCCTGTAGGTCAAGAGAATTCTTTAGTTTTCCGTGGACAGTGCAGACCAGCTAACATAATTATGGTGGTTTTCCAAAATATACTTCCTTTGGCTCCAGTTGCCACCACTTAAAGGGCAAATGGAGTTCCAGAAATGTTATCTGAAAAGTTACCCTTCTTTTACAGGATTTTCCATCTTTTTCCTTTTTCTCTTGAGCTCTCCCTTCTCTCATCCCACCTACTATAACCTACCTATACTCTTCAGTTCAAATCTGGAAACTTTTTAATATAAATAAATTTTGTAGGTGCAGATCTATACAAAGCTGACATGAAACGCAAATATAAGTGCAACAAACTCAGTTAAGTGTAATTTCAATCATAAATCTCTTGGCCACTAGCTATTGTTACTGTTAATCCAAAGGCCCCTCCCTCTGTTAGGTTATCTCCCTTAATATTATGGATCTTCATGTCCACCCTCCTTCCATCTCAGACCTACGTAGAAATCTTCCACTTACGCTACTTTTGCAGGAGAACATTATCAGTCCTTGTTTGGTCCCAGATACCCCTTTTTGTCCCAACTCTGCTTTAGATCAGAATTCATCCTGGAAAGCACCTGCCTCATCAATTTGACAAATGCCCCTCCACCCCATCTATAAACACAGTTTACAGGGCTTGTCTGATGAGTCTGGAATCAGGCACTGGGGCCCTTGCTAAGTTCTCTTCGGGGTAGTCCTCCATCATGGGGTTTGTTCCTACCAGCTCTGTTCTTTCTGTTGCCTCTCATCCTGTCATGATTCTGGAGGCCTTTTAGGTTTCCCCACCCTCTCTCTCCAGTCAACTCACCCTCAGTTCTCTCACCTGTCACTAACCCCACATTTTTTTTTTTAACGTTTATTTATTCTTGAGACAGAGAGAGACAGAGCATGAACGGGGGAGGGGCAGAGAGGAGGGAGACACAGAATTGGAAGCAGGCTCCAGGCTCTGAGCCATCAGCCCAGAGCCTGACGCAGGGCTCGAACTCACAGACCGCGAGATCGTGATCCGGGCTGAAGTCAGATGCTCAACCGACTGAGCCACCCAGGCGCCCCTAACCCCACATTTTTACTAACAGGCTTTAAAGCACTGTGTAACTTGCCTCAAACTACTGACGCTTTAGGTTCAAACTAGAGGCTCCTTCCCATTGCCACCATATCCTCTCATATCTTGCTTAGATATACAAGTCAAAAACTACTAACTCTGAAGCTTTTCACGGTCACTCCGTAAAACATTCAAAAATAATCAGATGCCACATTCACGTCCATCTTTTTCAGCCTTACCTGTAATCTGTGACCATCTCATTCCCAATCACTTTGGAGAGAGATTTTTTTTTTTTTTTGCCATCAAAATCAAATCTAATATATCACTGCATTTATAACTACTATAGATCAGAGATGATGATGGGGATGATTCTACACTGGAAGGGGTTTTGGAAGGATCTTTATGGGAAGTAAGTGAGCTAACAAGTGCTCTTTTTAAGAGAAACAGAGAATAGCCCACCATATCTTGCAGATTTGAAAGCAGACTGCATTAGAGACTTAAGTATTTCCGACTTTTTAAAAGCAGTATATCAAAAGAAATTTATATTTGCAAACTCCAGTGACTTCAATGTTTTAATTTTACAGCCAATCATCAAAAATAATCAGGGTACTACAACTAAACCTAAAAGTCCTCTCTACATAGAAATGCCACGCCACGCCTGAAGATACACGAATATGCTCACTTTCCAAAAGCAGAGAGGAATCACACACATTACGTGTCACTAGCTCAGCCTTAGACATTAAAAGGTGAGGAGCGCCTGGGTGGCTCAGTCGGTTAAGTGTCCGACTTCAGCTCAGGTCATGGTCTCAGGGTTCGTGAGTTTGAGCCCCACGTCGGGCTCTGTGCTGACAGCTCAGAGCCTGGAGCCTGCCTCGGATTCTGTGTCTCCCTGTCTCTCTGTTCCTCCCCGCTCACACTCCGTCTATCTCTCAAAAGTAAATAAACATTAAAATAATAATAATAAATAAAAAACATAAAAGGTGTAACATACCTCTTGCTGAAAGGCCTCACCCGTACTGCCACTATCACTTGACTGTTCTCCACCTTTAAGGGGTCTGTCTCTGCAGGGGGGTTCCGACCTGCGGTTTCCTCTTCAAGAGGGAGTGTATTTTCTCGTGACCTTTCCCTTTCATTTGCAGGCAGAGAACTTGTTCGCTTTTGTGTAGCTTGCAGGCTAGGCACCCTCTTTTTCAGCAGTGACAACGCAGCTGGGCTCGTCAGCTGTGGCGTGTCACACTTCGGTGTCAATCGGTGTCCTGCGATATATTTTGTAGGTGTTCTTCTTTTTTCTAAGCTTTCAAATTTATTTGCAGATTTTGCAGTATCCTTCCCAATACTTCTGTGAGGTAGGTTCCCCGACACTTTGATGTTCACCTTGCTCAGAAGAGGTTTGGTTGCCAAGCGTCCCGATGGAATAGCTTCAGTCTGACCCTGGGAATCAGTGGGTGCTCTGTTACTTAAGTACTTAAGTGTGACCTTTTCATTTGCCCCAGGGAGGGCAACAAATGTCTCTTTGTGGTTTTCAGTGGCCGTCATTTCAATGCGTTTTGGGTCCGCTAAAGGTACAACCGGTGCAATACAAGGGTTTTTATCTTTATGTACAGTCCTTACATTTGTACTAGCTTCCAGTGAAGCACCATCATTTTCGGCTGCACTGCCCACATTCTGTGTTGTTTTCCACTTTTCCCCACAATCTGTTTGAGCTGTTTTCCGCTTCTCCACTGATTCTGTTTTAGCACGCCGCCGCAACGTAAGACGTGTTTCTGCAGTGTTTTCGGCGGAGTCTCCCAACTCACTGCTAAGCAAAGAGGATTCTTTGTTCCTTGTGACTCTTCTCTGAAGTGCCAATCTACCTACAGGGTTAGGGGTCAGAGGTACATCTCCTGTTTTTTTACAGGCAGAAATCACATAAGTACTGTTAATGTCTCTGATTTTCCTTGCTGATCTCAATAATGGATCATCGTGTTCACATTCTGTCATATCCGACATCAAATGCAGCTCAGGTCTGCTACCATGGGTGAGGACATTCAGCGAGGAACTCCCTGGGGAAGAAGGTATACCAAGGATATCGCTGTTGTTTCTATTATGTGTGGTGAACACTGACATTGTGGCAGCAAGTCGTCTTAAAAAAGGAGGTCAGTGAAGCAACTAAGCTCTTCTTTAGACATTCATTTCACTTCCAGCCATATTTTAAGTATCAGTTTCCAAAACTATCTGCTAAACTGTAAAAAAAAAAAAAAAAAAAAAAAAAAAATGAGATTACACAGACTCTAAACAGACTTTAAAAAATATGAGAAACTTAGGGACACCTGGGTGGCTCAGTCAGTTAAGTGTCCAACTTCAGCTCAGATCGTGATCTCGTGGTTTGTGAGTTCAAGCCCCGCGTTGGACTCTGTCCTGACAGCTTGGAGCCTGGAGCCTGCTTCAGATCCTGTGTCTCCCTCTCTCTTTCTGCCCCTTCCTTGCTCATGCTCTGTCTCTCTCTCAAGAATAAACATTTTAAAAAAAACATTTTTTTTTTAAATATGAGAAACTTCCATTGTGAAAGTAACTTCCCAGAAGTACACATTAGAATAAACCACGATCTCCTCCTCAGATACTATTCCCAAGCAGTTTCAGACAAATCTCTGCCTTCAAAGAGCTTACAATCATTGTGCAACAAATATTTACTGAGTCCCCATTATGTGCCAGGCCCTCTGACAGATACTACGGATTTCAAAATCAAGACCCTGTTCCCATTTCCTCAGTCTAGAAAGAATACACAGATAACCACTATATCAGGCCAAACGTCCCAAACGACTTAAAGGATGTAAAAAGTGCATGTCAAAGAAGATATATGAATGGCCAACAAGCACATAAAAAAGATGCTCAACATCACTAATCATTAGGGAAATGCAAATCAAAACTACAATGAGATACTACATCACACCCATTAGGATGGCTACTAACAAAAAAAACAGTCTTGGCAAGGACTGGAGAAATTGGTACCCTGGTATACGACTGGTAGAAATATAAAATGGCACAGCCAGTGTGGGAAATAGTATGGAAGTTCCTCAAAAAATTAAAAAACAGAATTACCTTTTGATCCAGAAACTCTACTTCTGGATATGTAACCTAAAGAACTGAAAGCCGGGTCTTGAAGAGACATTTGTACACCCATGTTCATAGCAGCATTATTCCACATGACTAAAACATGGAAGCAACCCAAGTGTCCATGGGTTGGAGAATGGCCTTACCAAAATGGGGTATACGTGTACAATGAAACATCCTTCAGCTTTAAAAAGAAATTCTGCAATCTACTACAACTTGAATGAACCTTGAAGACATAATGCTAAGAGAGATAAGCCAGTCACAAAAAAAAGACAAATATTGTATAATTCCACTCATAGGAGGTACTTAGAGAAGTTAACATCATAAAGACAGAAAGTATAACGGTGGTTGCCAGGGGCTGGGGGCAGGGGACAATGGGAGTTATTGTTTAATAGATATAGAGCTTCAGATTTTCAAGATGACAGAGGATTATGGGAATGGATGGTGGTGATGGCTGCATAACAATGTGAATGTATTTAAGGATATACACGTTAAAATGTGTACATAGGGGCGTCTGGGTGGCTCAGTCGGTTAAGCTTCTGACTTCGGCTCAGGTCATGATCTCGCGGTCCGTGAGTTCGAGCCCCGCATCGGGCTCTGTGCTGACAGCTCAGGGCCTGGAGCCTGTTTCGGATTCTGTGTCTCCCTCTCTCTGACCCTCCCCCGTTCATGCTCTGTCTCTCTCTGTCTCAAAAATAAATAAATGTTAAAAAAAAATAAAAAATAAATAAAATGTGTACATAAAAGTAGATAAGATGATAAGTGTGTATTTTAACACAAGCAGCAGCAGGAGGAGGAGGAGTAAGAGGAGAAGAAGAGGAGAAGGAAGGGAGGGAGGGAGAGCCTGTCAGCAGAGATTTTTATTTAAGTACTCTGTGTTTGCAGATTAGGAGAGGGACTAACAGAAACCCTAGCACCTAAATCAAAGGCTGGAGTAAAGCATTTTGATAATACCTGTTGCATGTATGTTAAATACAGGAACAGTCATGGAGATTAGTTTGAGTGGTGTCACAAAACAGAGTATTCCCAAATAAGTAGTGCAGACAATAAATATAAGTACTGTAAATTAATTACTTGTGTTGAGAAAAATTATGCAAGATTAGATAAGTGGACAGGTTGCCCTCTAGCAATTAGACAACAAAGTAGACAGGTGTGTAAGTAAATATGTCAACAATATCTATCCGGCATTAATGTTTAGAAGAAAAAAAAAACAGCAGTGACAGCTAAAAGGCCTGGCTTCTACTCAGCTCTGCCCCAAACTGGTTAAATTGATGTAAACGAGTCTTTAAATTTGCATGCCGGGTTCTAACTTGTAAAATGACACTTGCTCAATTCCGTAGATAATGCTATTGAGGAACAAAATAATAGAAGTTAATCTTTAAGTAAGTCTTTTAAAGTTCTAAATGAGTAACAGTCATTACCCCCACCCCAAAAAATCGTCAGGACATAAGCTCCTCCCTTCAACCTTTTCTCTTAAAAAAGTATAGAGTGTTCCTATTATGGAAAGAAATGTAAAGGCAAGAAGATTCCGGAAATTCTAGGGCAGCCAAAAACTATTTGCTACTTACGCTGATAGACACTGCTTTCTGTTTGGGGGTGGGGGGTGGGCAGGAGGGGGTTCGCCATAGAGTTTTAAAAGGAGTGGAATGAATAGAAGGGGGAAAAAACTGTCACAACCCAAACCAAAAGATCCCCGTGGATGGGTTCTCAAGCTAGTCACTCCGAGGGCTGGGACAGTGAGTGTACCTCTTAATGTCAACCGACTGGGCGAGACTTCGGTGGGTGAGGCTGTGGGCCGAGAGGCCCTGAAGTCCGGCTGCGCTGTCCCCGCAGAGGCGCCGCCCGTGCGCGTCCTCCGGGGGCCCCTTCGCCGCCGACCCGGATTCCGGGGTGGTGGGGGGACCCGAGCTAAGGCCTCCGCCCACACCTCAGCGGTCGCCGGTAAAGAAGACGCCCTCTCGCCCCGACACCGATACTTCGCCCCTCCGCAGGGTTCGCCACTCTCCGAGACCTCCCCGAGGAAGTCCCCACACCTCTCACAGCCCCCACAACCTGCTCCCTCTGCGGCAGGAGTTTGAATGGGCACCCTGCATTTTGATTGGCTGCTGGACGTGGCGTCGGGCACCGCGCCCTCGCTTCCTCCCACCCCCAGGAAGCGCCGTTGTTAGGTCTCAGCGAGTCCAAACACTATATCCGACCGCCCACTTCTCCTAGGCAACGGGGCCCGCCCCTCCCCAGGCTCAGCTACCGCGCGGAGCTTCGGCCCCTTTAAATGCGGCTGGAGGGAGGAGCTGGATTCTGAGTGACTTATGGCAGCTCACTAAGGTGGATTTTTTTTTTTAATTTTTTTTTTAATGTTTATTTTATTTTTGACAGAGAGAGAGGAGGTGTGGGGAGGCGGGGTGAGCGGGAGAGGGCAGAGAGAGAGGGAGACACAGAATCGGAAGCAGGCTTGAACCTACAGACCAGAGATCATGACCTGAGCTGAAGTCAGAGCTTAACCAACTGAGTGAGCCACCCAGGTACCCCTTAGATGGCTTTTAAATAAGAAGAGTTGACTTTTGTCGATCCATAGTATAAAAAAAACATCGTCTGTCCACCTTAAAATGAAGTTGTAAAAATGGCTATTTGTCCTCAAGCTAGCACAATAACGCGTTTCTAGTGCTGTATTTCCTATGCAAAGCGTGTAGGTGGAAAGTATACTAAATGTCTTACAAGGGATTTTTTCATTTATTCCTGAATATTTTATGAGGTAACTATTAATATTATCCCCAGTGTCCAGATGAAGTTTACAGTTAAAGGTTTTTCTTTTAAATTTTCTTTTCAAAATTTTTTAAAGCATAAGTATCTTTTAAAAGGCAAAAAGTGCACCATTTGCAACTACATGGATGGAACTGGAGGGCATTATGCTAAGTGAAATTAGTCAGAGAAAGACAAAAATCATATGACTTCACTCATATGAGGACTTTAAGAGACAAAACAGATGAACATAGGGAAGAAAAACAAAAATAATATAAAAACAGGGAGGGGGGGTACAAAACAGAAGAGACTCATAAATATAGAGAACAAACTGAGGGTTGCTGCAGGGGTTGTGGGAGGGGAATGGGCTAAATGGGGAAGGGGCACTAAGGAATCTACCCCTGAAATCATTGTTGCACCATATGCTAACTAATTTGGATGTAAATTTAAAAAATAAAAAAGAAAATTAAAAAAAAAAAAAGAAAAGGCAAAAAGTGCAGGTAATAGAAATGTATTCAATGGGATATAAAGGGAAATCAGAAGTGGCTCCAACTATATAGAAAAACTGAATGGATGATAAAGTACTCATTCTAAAACTAACTTTAAAAATCATCTAGGGGTGCGTGGGTGGCTCACTCAGTAGGGCATCTGACTCTTGCTTTCAGCTCATGTCATGATCTCATGGTCCTGAGAGGGAGCCCCACCAGGGGCTTTGTGCTGGGCATGGAACCTGCTTGAGATGCTCTCTTCCTCTCCCCCACTCGCACACAGGTTCACTCTGTCTCTCTAGAAAAAAAGATTCTAAAATTTAGGATTAAGTTATAGAGAAACCATCAGAAAAAAGAATATAATATTTATGAGATCTATGGGAAAATAGTCATTAGGTTTGTGGACAAAAGATATAGCAAAGGAAAGACTGACAATCTCAAATATATAAAAATTTGAGAATTATGTGTAATTCAAAATAGTAACAATGAGGGGCGCCTCGGTGGCGCAGTCGGTTAAGCGCCCGACTTCAGCCAGGTCACGATCTCGCGGTCCGTGAGTTCGAGCCCCGCGTCAGGCTCTGGGCTGATGGCTCAGAGCCTGGAGCCTGTTTCCGATTCTGTGTCTCCCTCTCTCTCTCTGCCCCTCCCCTGTTCATGCTCTGTCTCTCTCTGTCCCAAAAATAAATAAACGTTGAAAAAAAAAATAAAAAAAAAATAGTAACAATGAAATGATAAAATGCAAGTTAACAAGAAAAATATATTAAATATGACAGAAGATGGAAACATTTC